TGATACATTAAGTGCTGACTGTGGACATGTAACACTAGTTATAGTTAATAGGTTTTTGTATTAATGGCTGATGACCTGATACATTAAGTGCTGACTGTGGACATGTAACACTAGTTATAGTTAATAGGTTATTGTATTAATGGCTGATGACCTGATACATTAAGTGCTGACTGTGGACATGTAACACTAGTTATAGTTAATAGGTTATTGTATTAATGGCTGATGACCTGATACATTAAGTGCTGACTGTGGACATGTAACACTAGTTATAGTTAGTAGGTTATCATATTAATGGCTGATGACCTGATACATTAAGTGCTGACTGTGGACATGAAACACTCACAGGTTGGTTTTGTCTTGCTTTGTGACGTTGCACCTCCTCCTGACAAAAGCGTATGGCCTGTTCCAAAACTTCCTCATCCTCCAACACCTAGCAAGATTATCACAAAAGGTCAAAGTTAACACACAAAGACTTTGAGAATTTGTTTGATAACCATCTGAAGGACACTATTTACAATAATTACTGATAATGACTTTTAAAATAACTCTTTTGGGAAAGTTTATATATGTTAACCAGTGACAATATAATATTTTTATTCTATGTTTTGTGATATGGACTTAGAGGCTTTCAGCCTGCGTCCATTCTTTTTCAATTAAATTCAATTAAAAAAAAGTCAAAATTACCACACAAAGTAATCTTCACAATTATATTATTTTTGCCAAATACACTTTCCAACACTAATTACTGAATTTTATGGCTTATGACAAATTGTTTGGTCCTGGCCTGGAACTGTCCTAAGAACATTTAAATGTACAACACAGAAGCCAGTAGTAAGTTATATGTAGTCATATACATGTTGACGATATCACTATGTATTCTCGACTTTTTAACTTAAATAATTTAGATGTCATTATAACTACATAATGATTAATGATAAGCAATAACCTTAATTGCTACATTACAATTTAAACAAAATACAAATAACTATTGCTGCTCTCTTCAATGTTGCCCCAAAGTGATGCCTCTCTATGATGCCACCTCCTGTAGTATGGTGCCTCTCTATGATGCCACCTCATGTAGTATGGTGCCTCTCTATAATGCCACCTCCTGTAGTATGGTACCTCTCTATAATGCCACCTCGTGTAGTATGGTGCCTATCTATGATGCCACCTCCTGTAGTATGGTGCCTCTCTATGATGCCACCTCCTGTAGCATGGTGCCTCTCTATGATGCAATCTCCTGTAGTATGGTGCCTCTCTATGATGCCACCTCCTGTAGTATGGTACCTCTCTATGACGCAACATCCTGTAGTATGTTGATGTAATATAAAGCCTACCTTTTTACCCATGACAGCCCTGTAGGTGTCCTTCTACTCTGTATTATCAGCTGCTGATGTAATATGAAGCCTACCTTTTTACCCATCACAGCCCTGTAGGTGTCCGTCTACTCTGTATTATCAGCTGTTGATGTAATATAAAGACTACCTTTTTACCCATGACAGCCCTGTAGGCGTCCTTCTACTCTCTATTATCAGCTGTTGATGTAATATGAAGCCTACCTTTTTACCCATGACGGCCCTGTAGGGGTCCGTCTACTCTGTATTCTCAGCTGTTGATGTAATATAAAGACTACCTTTTTACCCATGACAGCCCTGTAGGCGTCCTTCTACTCTCTATTATCAGCTGTTGATGTAGTATAAAGCCTACCTTTTTACCCATGACAGCCTTGTAGGGGTCCTTCTACTCTCTATTATCAGCTGTTGATGTAATATGAAGCCAACCTTTTTACCCATGACAGCCCTGTAGGTGTCCTTCTACTCTGTATTATCAGCTGTTGATGTAATATGAAGCCTAACTTTTTACCCATGACGGCCCTGTAGGTGTCCGCCTACTCTGTATTCTCAGCTGTTGATGTAATATAAAGACTACCTTTTTACCCATGACAGCCCTGTAGGCGTCCTTCTACTCTCTATTATCAGCTGTTGATGTAATATGAAGCCTGCCTTTTTACCCATGACAGCCCTGTAGGTGTCCTTCTACTCTCTATTGTCAGCTGTTGATGTAGTATAAAGCCTACCTTTTTACCCATGACAGCCCTGTAGGTGTCCTCCAGGAGTTCATTAGCCTCGATGGTTTGACTGATATCCATCTTAAAGGATATGTAGTTGTACACCTTGTACACTTCCATTAGACATTTAACAGCCTTGGCGTGGTTATTAGAGCGTCGGAGCTCAGACATGCGTCCTTTGATGGCATCAAGGCAGTACTGGTGAGCCAGACGTGCAAACTTGACCCTCTCGGCATCACGCATGTACTTCCTGTGTAACAGAACAGCACACAGATACTAGTTACACCCTTCATCAATGAAACTTAAATATACTTTTGAGATGAAAAAGCATTATTGTATCTATTTTTAAAATACTTGCCATCTCAAATGAACTTCCATTGTCTAACATTATTAGCAGCATGTTTGTATAATATGTCATCAATAAAGAACTTGTCAAGATGTCATTAATGATGAAATCCTAATTCACACTTGGCGACATTGAAATTTACTAAATGAAATTAAATTTGTGCACCATAGAACCTTTAAAATGTGTAAATTTTTAAAATAAAACCCTTATACAATGTACAATATCCTAGGTCTGCTCACACAGGTCTTTACAGTACATGATCCAAACAGAATTCCAACCCATATCAACTGTACTAATCCTATTTGCAGTAGTGACTTACTTTCCAGAATCAGGGTCCCTACTGAGCTGGATAAAGATACTGTGTAGTTTGGGGACGTCCTTCTGCTCTTTGAGAACTTTGAGGAGAAGTTTGACTGACCGGGTCAGATGTGACGGGAAGCCGCCGGAACGGTCAATCTCATCAACTGGAATTTTCCACACACCCTGACCAACACAATATTTCAGTAAATACTATGTAACAACATGAAATAACTGGGAGATGACACCAATGCATGCTCTCACGATTACAAGGGGTAGTTGGAAAATACAGAAAATAATAAAGTCAGGTTTTCAAAGCTTGTTATAATTCTTACCGTTGTTTATAAAAAATAACAGTACATGTAATTCTTTTGTGTGTGCCTTTTTTTATTATGTTCAGCTGGTAGATTTCTGTTAGGCATTTTCATATTTTACTAATGCTATGCTCGCCAATACACTTGTAGGACTAGTACTCTGCCCTCGTATGCCAAACACGTTCTCAAGTTAATGCATAGGAAGTAGAATGCATACTTAATAGTCTGTATGACTCACACACAGGAAGTAGAATGCATACTTAATAGTCTGTATGACTCACACACAGGAAGTAGAATGCATACTTAATAGTCTGTATGACTCACACATAGGAACTTGACAGTGAAATTAAACACATTTGTTAAAGTAAACACTTCATTTTCTTCCTGCTCATCCCTGATACACATCATGATGTTTACACATAATTTGATAAGGAAAATAGAAAATGGTTGGAACACAAACACTGAAGAAGAATCAGTTACAGAGTTTTGTCCTTGGGTTAGTTATCACTAAAACAAAGCATGTTGAGCCCCTCATTAAATCAATCAACTACATTGAAGAGGATATCAAAAACATGGAGTTTGAGATTTTTTTATTTTTTTTTCGGTTGGATCACAACGTCACTAGTTCTTGTACCACTGCTCACAATACAAACAAGAACTTCCCATTACATCCCAAGGGTAGGCGATAACAGGGTACCTGTACCTGTATGTAAGTCCAAGGGGATTGACATACATATGTACATGGACAAATACAACTAGAACTGTAAGCCAAAGGCTAACTAATACCCCCGCTCCTATATAAACCAGCACTGTAAGCCAAAGGCTAACTAATCCCCCCGCTCCTATATAAACAATAACTGTAAGCCAAAGGCTAAATAATACCCCCGCTCCTATATAACCCAGAACTGTAAGCTAAAGGCTAACTAATACCGCCGCGCCTATATAAACCAGAACTGTAAGCTAAAGCTTACTAATGCAAAGCAATAAAGTCTCCCACCACTGGCACCAGTAATGAGTTAATCACCATTTAAAAAAAAAAAAAAAATCGCACAAAGGAGCATAACTGCAACAAAAAGGGTCGAAATCCCAAATTACAACTACATAAGATACTGATCATTCATGCAAAGTTTCAATGAAATCCACCTGTTAGTTAAGGAGGAGTTGCGCGGACAATTATTTCACACAAAGGGGCATAACTCCATCAAAAAGGGTCCAAATCCCAAATAAAAATGCCGGTGCACAACTACATAAAATACTGTTCAATCATGCAAAGTTTCAATGAAATCCAACTGTTCGTTAAGGAGGAGTTATGCGGACAAGTATTTCGCAAAAAGGGGCATAACTCCATCCAAAAGGGTCGAAATCCCAAATTAAAATGCCGGTGCACAACTACATAAGATACTGATCCTTCATGCAAAGTTTCAATGAAATCCACCTGTTCGTTAAGGAGGAGTTGCGCGCGCGGACAAGTATTTCGCAAAAAGGGGCATAACTCCATCAAAAAGGGTCAAAATCCCAAATTAAAATGCCGGTGCACAACTTTATAATATACGGATCATTCATGCAAAATTGCAATGAAATCCACCTGTTCGTTAAGGAGGAGTTGCGCGCGCGGACAAGTATTTCGCAAAAAGGGGCATAACTCCATCAAAAAGGGTCAAATCCCAAATCAAAATGCCGGTGCACAACTACATAAAATACTGATCATTCATGCAAAGTTTCAATGAAATCCACCTGTTAATTAAGGAGGAGTTTTCCGGAAAAGTTACTGCGGACGACAGACATCCAGACAGGGTGATTCCAGTATACCCCCCCCTAACTTCGTTACGGGGGTATAATTATTCTCAAGGATTTGAGATGGTTGTGATATGTACCTGGAAGAAGTTGCTGGGTTTCCTGTCCACAAACAGTCCCTGGGCAGGCATGTGTGCCATCATCTTCCAGTCAGGGTTGCCAAGCAACAGGTCATGGGCATATTGCAAATTCTGAAGGCATAAACATTAACACAAGTTGTTTGTTGTTACAGGTAGTTATTGTAGAAAGATGTCTAGAGGTAGACATTTTATATGAGGTTGGCTAATTCGAATATGCTGTACAACCTTTCACAAACCAATCCATTATTTTGTAGAACTGTCTCTATGCAAGACAGTAACCTCGTCAGTATGTATGTAAGATTTACTTTGGTAAAAATAGTCACTCAGCTAGCAAGACTTACCTTGTGGTGAAATAGTCACTCAGTAAGTAAGACTTACCTTGTGGTAAAATAGTCACTCGGTAAGTAAGACTTACCTTGTGGTAGGGAGAGTAGATGTAGGTGTAGGCCAGTCTGTACAGAGACTTGTAGTGAGTGGGAAAGCGTGACAGACACAGACACAGAGCTGCCATACACTGCTCTATCAGCTGTTTGTGAAACTTGGCACTCCCTGGCTTATCACTGACAGGGGCTCCTTTGCTTTTCGTGCTTTCGGTGCTCTTTTTGTCTTTCTTAACTCCTTTTTTCTCCACTCCAGTTGGAACTACTTTCACATTGTCTACTTTCTCTTTGCTACTTTCCCTTTCCTTTGTGTTTTTATCTTTCAGATCATCTGGGACGATTCCTTCACTGCCCTTATGTTTAATTTCGGACTCCTTCACCAACGTCCCACCCTCCTTAGTACCAGAGTTTGGACTGTCTGACTTGACAACTTCAGTCACTGGCGTCTGATTTTCATCCTTGTTATCCACATCCATTTTCTCATCATCCGCTCTTTCACCTGTTCCAACTGTAGATGCCATATCAATGACAACAATTTTCACATTGTCTAACTTTTGTTCTTTGCTAGTTGTCAAATCTACCTTATCAACTTCCATTTCCACATCATCTGCCCTTTGTCCTTGGCAGGTTATAGAATCTATTTTAGCTTCATCCATTTTTTCATCATCTGCTTTAAGTTCCTTGTTGGTTGTAGATTCTTCTTCAATAACGGTAATTTTCTCATCATCCGCTTTTTGTTCCTGGTTGGTTGTAGATTCTATTTCAGGAGCTTCCATTTTCTTAACGCCCACTCTTTGTTCCTGGTTGGTTGTAGACTCTGTTTTATTGCCAATAATATTTTTCTGCAGATTTTGTGCAAAATTTCCTGCTTCATCATTAGAAGTGAATTCTTCATCTTTTTCAAAGGTGGTTGTATTTTCGTCCTTTTTTCTCCTATCCACATCTTTAATGTCATCGACATCCATATTACTTTCCCTATTACAGATGTTTGGTTGGCAATCCGCTCCACTTTTCACAGGTTGGTTAACATCTTCAGACTTCTCATCCATTGACAAAGGCTCTTTCTTGTCATCTGGATTCTGATTGGACAACACTGTTTCAATCTTTTTCTCCTTGACATCAATGCTATCCTGATTCTGATTGGCTGAATCAGAATGTGTTGAATTCTTTGGACTGAGGTTAGAAGAGACAGATGTCAAGTCCTCCTTCATACCTACAGAACTAATGGTGTCCTGCTGTGAGTGAACTTTTAGTCCTGTATCTGCGTCTGACATAAAGATTTGGGAGGAGGGTGACTGTGATCTTGAAGCTTTCAAGGGTGAACTTAGACTCTTCTCTGGCGAACTTTCTGAGATGATGTCATCAGGAATAATCTTTTTTGACAAAAACTGGTTAAACTGGGCCAGAAATCCACCCGATTTTGATAAAGAATCGCCAGATTTTGACAAGGAATCAGCAGCTGATCTGCTGGGGGAACCAAGGGAATCTGGGATAGAGTCTGAAGAACCAGACAGGTAGGAATCATCCAAACTTTCACCCAATTCATCATCATCATCTGACAGACTGCTCACAGATTTCTGATCCTTTCTAGGTTTGGATTCTGTTTCCATGCCTACTACAGACTGTCCTTGTTCGTATTTTGACACAAGGTCTCCCTCTAGTTCCTGAGCCATTCTCTCTCTCAGCCCTTTGGACAGTGATAACTCACTTGGATCTGAAACCAAATTATATTGGAACAAATTAAAGTAATATACAGTCAAGTATAAGCCCAAATAACACCACCCTGGGGCCTTTTGGTTATTTAGAAGGAATTGTTTTACAGATTGTTTTAAACATCTGACCCCTTTGACATTGAAATTGGGTCAATGCCATTCATTTGAACACACTTTATAGCCCTTCTTCTAAGCTAGCTATAGCTACTGGCCAGTGACCAAATATAATTACCCTGGGACTTTTGGTTATTGAGAAAATGTTGTATGAATATTTTAGAAATCTTAAAATTACTCGTTAAAAGTACGTGTACACTACGTACCAATCGGTGCTCCTCCCTCTTGGTCCTCTGGCAGATTCATGTCACCATATTGCCTCGTCTCCGATTCCATACTCTCGTTTCCTTGACTTAACTCTCGTACAACAGAGTGGAGGGATTTCTCATCTTCCTGCTGGTCAAAACCACCTTCCTTAAGATCACTAGACTTGACATCTGTAGTTTGACCTTCATCCTGTTGGATGATGTCAGTTGACTTTTTATCATCACTAGATGTCTTTTTGTCATGGTCTGTGGGTAAATATTCAGAAAGTAGAGCCTCCACATCAAACTCAGAGAGAGAAGAATCGTCGTCTTTATCCATTTTTTGGCCATCAACTTTGTCCTCAGACAGGATTTTATCCTCCTCAGCAGAAACTTCCATTGCATTATCATTAGACTTTTCTTCTTGAGAAGACACTTTCATGACCTTGTCAACATATTTGTCCTTGGTTCCGATCACAACATCAGCACTATCACCTCTATCCAATAGGTGTGTGTCCCCCTTAACATCAAAGCCAAATGAAGCTTGTTTTACAATGCCAGTGACTTCATCTAAAAAGAAACCATCCCCCTCAGACTCCTTATCGACAGCCGTGTCACCTTGCCCTTGCTCTGGTACAGCTGACTTTTCCACAGTTGTAGCCGAGTCCACTTCCTCTTTTTCCTTATCAACAGATTCTGCTACAGTCAAATGTTCATCAAGATTTTCAGCCGATAATTCCATCATGCTCCCAGCAGTTGCATTAGAAGGGTCAACTACCTGAACCTCTCTGTGTGTAACCATAGAAACTGGTTTAGGAGTCGTGACCTGGTCAAAGTCAGAGGTTGCTGAGTCAGTGGCTGAGCCCTCCACCATGCTTTTCTGCTTAGAGTAAGTGTGATCCATCGGCATGACCTTTGACCTTTTCCCCCCAGTTTTAGTTCCTTGTCCAACAGGTAACAGCGTACCATCTAGAGTGGCTGTGCTGCAAACAGAAAAGAAAATTATCCTCATTTTAGAGAAGAAATCTTTTTTGTAGTGAAATCAATCAGAACATAAATGAGGCATTTTCTAAGTTTTGCATCAAAAACCAAATTTCTATCAAATTATATGGGGATAGCTCTGCAATTTGAGATTTACAACAGTGTCATGATTATAATGTCCAAAATTGGGTTTAATTAGGAATGCAAAGCAGAGATTTTAATTCCAAATTGATTAGCTAGCATTTGATTTCTTTCCTGTCAGATAAAAGAATGAGCTATGGAAGATAAGAACATCTTGTGAATGACATACATACCAAAAAAACAATATGTATAATTATCTGTCATATACTGGCTGCAGTTCAGATTGGACTATTTATCCCACCTGTCGATTTTCCCTCTCAACACTGCACCTACCCTCACATTTCTCACAACACAATACTCATCACTAATTTCATATACTCTACTTCCCTTCTGATGTTTTACCCCAACACTTCACTCCACATTTCTCGGATTTCCCCCAAAGGTTCTTGTTTCTCCTGACACTGTGCTTACCTCTCCTGTCGTCTTTCCTGACACCGGGCAAAGGGACTATTAGCAGCCTCTTTTATATAACGCTGGAAGAGCTGCAGATCTGACTCCAGTACAGTTTTGTTCTTCAGCAAGATCTTCATGATGGACACATGGATACGGTAGAACATCTGTCCAGACATTAAAAGTGAGCTAAGAGTTCAGTAAACTTGAGATAATTATTTTATAGTCAAACAATGACGATTATGAAGATGAAACTAGTACATATTTTCAATTATCAGTACCAATGATGAAGAGGTATAATAAACCACCTTGGAATAGACAAAACACACACAATAGACAAAACACACACAATAGACAGAACACACACAATAGACAAAACACACACAATAGACAAAACACACACAATAGACAAAACACACACAATAGACAAAGCACACAATAGACAAAACACACACAATAGACAAAACACACACAATAGACAAAACACACACAATAGACAAACACACACATAATAGACAAAACACATACAATAAACAAAACACACACAATAGACAAAACACACAATAGACAAAACACACACAATAGACAAAGCACACAATAGACAAAACACACACAATAGACAATAGACAAAGCACACAATAGACAAAACCCACACAATAGACAGAACACACATGATAGACAAAACACACACAATAGACAAAGCACACAATAGACAAAACACACACAATAGACAAAACACATACAATAAACAAAACACACACAAAAGACAAAACACACAAAATAGACAAACACACACATAATAGACAAAACACAAACAATAAACAAAACACACACAATAGACAAACACACACATAATAGACAAAACACATACAAAAAACAAAACACACACAATAGACAAAACGCACACAATAGACAATAGACAAAGCACACAATAGACAAACCACACACAATAGACAAAGCACACAATAGGCAAAACACACACAATAGACAGAACACACATGATAGACAAAACACACAAAATAGACAAAGCCCACAATAGACAAAACACACACAATAGAAAAAGCGCACAATAGACAAAACACACACAATAGAAACAGCACACAATAGACAAAACACACACAACAGACAAAACACACACAATAGACAAAGCCCACAAAAGACAAAACAAACACAATAGACAATAGACAAAACACACACAAAAGACAAAGCACACAATAGACAAAACACCCACAATAGACAAAGCACCCAATAGACAAAACGCACACAATAGACAAACACACACATAATAGCCAAAACACATACAATAAACAAAACACACACAAAAGACAAAACACACACAATAGACAAACACAAACATAATAGACAAAACACATACGATAAACAAAACACACACAATAGACAAACACAAACATAATAGACAAAACACATACGATAAACAAAACACACACAATAGACAAACACACACATAATAGACAAAACACATACAAAAAACAAAACACACACAATAGACAAAACACATACAATAAACAAAACACCCACAATAGACAAAACACACAATAGACAAAACACACACAAGAGACAAAGCACACAATAGACAAAACACAGAATAGACAAAACACACACAATAGACAACAGACAAAACACACACAATAGACAAAACACAAAATAGTCAAAACACACACAATAGACAAACACACACATAATAGACAAAACATATACAATAAACAAAACACACACAATAGGCAAAACACACACAATAGACAGAACACACATGATAGACAAAACACACACAATAGACAAACACAAACATAATAGACAAAACACATACGATAAACAAAACACACACAATAGACAAAACACACATAAAAGACAAAACACACAAAATAGACAAACACACACATAATAGACAAAACACATACAATAAACAAAACACCCACAATAGACAAAACACACAATAGACAAATCACACACAATAGACAAAGCACACAATAGGCAAAACACACACAATAGACAGAACACACATGATAGACAAAACACACACAAAAGACAAAACACACACAATAGACAAAGCACCCAATAGACAAAACGCACACAATAGACAAAGCACGCAATAGACAGAACACACATGATAGACAAAACACACACAATAGACAAACCACACAATAGACAAAACCCACACAATAGACAGAACACACATGATAGACAAAACACACACAAAAGACAAAACACACACAATAGACAGAACACACATGATAGACAAAACACACACAATAGACAAACACAAACATAATAGACAAAACACATACGATAAACAAAACACACACAATAGACAAAACACAAAATAGTCAAAACACACACAATAGACAAAGCACAAAATAGACAAAACACACACAATAGACAATAAACAAAGCACACAATAGACAAAACCCACACAATAGACAAAACACACAATAGACAAAGCACACACAATAGACAAAGCACACAATAGGCAAAACACACACAATAGACAGAACACACACGATAGACAAAACACACACAAAAGACAAAACACACACAATAGACAAAGCGCACAATAGACAAAGCACACACAATAGACAAAGCACACAATACACAAAACACACACAATAGACAAAGCACCCAATAGACAAAACGCACACAATAGACAAACACACACATAATAGACAAAACACATACAATAAACAAAACACACACAATAGACAAAACACACACAATAGACAGAACACACACGATAGACAAAACACACACAATAGACAAAGCACGCAATAGACAAAACACACACAATAGACAAAACACACACAATAGACAAACACACACATAATAGACAAAACATATACAATAAACAAAACACACACAATAGACAAAACACACACAATAGACAAAACACACAATAGACAAAACACACACAATAGACAAAGCACACAATAGAAAAAACACACAATAGACAAAACACACACAATAGACAAAACACACACAATAGACAAAACACACACAATAGACAAAGCACACAATAGAGAAAAAACACACAATAGACAAAACACACACAATAGACAAAACACACACAATAGACAAAACACACACAATAGACAAAACACACACAATAGACAAAGCACACAATAGAAAAAACACACAATAGACAAAACACACACAATAGACAAAACACACACAATAGACAAAACACACACAATAGACAAAGCACACAATAGAAAAAACACACAATAGACAAAACACACACAATAGACAAAACACACACAATAGACAAAGCACACAATAGAAAAAACACACAATAGACAAAACACACACAATAGACAAAACACACACAATAGACAATAGAGAAAAAACACACAATAGACAAAACACACACAATAGACAAAACACACACAATAGACAAAACACACAATAGACAAAACACACACAATAGACAAAACACACACAATAGAAATAGACAAAGCACACAACAGACAAAACACACACACACACATAATAGACAAATAGACAAAACACACACAATAGACAAAGCACACAATAAACAAAACACACACAATAGACAAAACACACAATAGACAAAACACACACAATATACGAAAAACACACAATAGAAAAAAAAAACACAATAGACAAAACACACACAATAGACAAAACACACACAATGGACAAAACACACACAATAGACAAAGCACACAATAGACAAAACACACACAATAGACAAAACACACACAATAGACAAAATACACACACTAGACAAAATACACAAAATAGACAAAGCACACAATAGACAAAGCACACAATAGACAAAGCACACAATAGACAAAATACACACAATAGACAAAACAGACAATAGACAAAACACACACAATAGACAAAGCACATAATAGACAAAACACACACAATAGACAAAACACACACAATAGACAAAACTCACACAATAGACAATGTATCTATGATTAAGTCTCATGCATTGAAGACTGACAAAGACTACAGCTGAACAATTTTATTTACCTCGAGAGATTCCACAGCCAGATGTGGGGTAGTGTAGGCGTAAACGATCTTCTTGGGGAATGTGGCGTTCTCCTCATACAGATAGTTAGCTGCCTGTGTAGACACATTGTAAATCATTAGTAAAATCTCTCATCAGAATATACATTTTAAACCTGTTCCATTTTTCATCATAATAAAAACCCATTTCTTTAATTTTGCAACTTTAAAATTGATTCAGCAAAATTTCAAGATCAAGAAGGGGTAGGAGTACCCCAAGATTTTCCCCCTCCCCACCCATTCTGCTCCTAAACAAGAGGCCCAATGGGCCTGCATCGCTCACCTGGTATAAAACTCACACTTGTAACCTTAAAAGTGATCTAAAATAAAGCTACAGGCAAAATATCAGTATTTATGATTAAAATTCATTCAAAAGAACCTGTTATTTTTTTTTTTAACATTTCACCCCTGTGATTGAAAGTCGAACAAAGTCATTATGTTGAACACATTGTATAGCCTTTCATCTCAGGATGCAACTTGCAAAGTATAAACATCCTGGGACCCATGGTTATTCAGAAGAGGTTGTTTAAAGATTTTAAACAAATTTGACCCCTGTGACCTTGAATATAAGTCAAAGTCATTCACTTTAACAAACATAGTAGTCCTTGATCCCAGCATATGCTACTAACTAAATATCAACATCCTGAGCCTTTTGGTTATTCAGAACAAGTTGTTGAAATATTTTAAACATATTTGCTCCTTGTGACCTTGAATATGATTCAAGGTCATACATTTAAACAAACTTGGTAGCCCTTGATCCTAGTATGCTACTGACTAAATATCATCACCCAGGGCATTTTGGTTATTCAGAAGAAGTTGTTTAAAGTTTTTAACATATTTGACCCCTGTGACCTTGAATATGGGTGAAGGTCATTCATTTGAACAAACTTTGTAGCACTTCATCTCAGCATGCTACTGGCTAAATATCATCACCCTGAGCATTTTGGTTATTCAGAAGAAGTTGTTTAAAGGTTTTTTAATACAATTGACCCCTGTGACCTTGAATATAATTGAAGGTCATTCATTTGAACAAACTTGGTAGCCCTTCACCCAAGCATGCTACTGGCCATATATCAACTCCCTGGGCATTTTGGTTATTGAGAAGAAGATGTTTAAAAGTTTTTGACATATTTGACCCCTGTGACCTTGAAAATAGGTGAAGGTCATTAATTTTAACAAACTTTGTAGCCCTTCATCCAAGTTTGCTACCGGCCAAATATCGACACCCTAGGCCTTTCGGTTATTAAGAAGAAGTCGTTTAAAGTAAAATATTGACGCCGGACGACGGACGGACGGACGACAGACGGACGGACGGACGGACGACGGACGCCGCGCCACGGCATAAGCTCACTTGGCACTTCGTGCCAGGTGAGCTAAAAAACCTTCAAGATTCACAATTAATGATCCTCAGTTTCATGGTAACTTGCTAGAATTTTAAAAACATCCTTGAATATAGGTTTATGAAGGATGCATCGTTTTGATGACAACTATACTTGTAGTATAATAAATCCTTCATTACAATATTTCTGGGGACTACCACAGTCATTCAGTACATCACATTAAAACTTATGAGATTCTTCAACCTGTATACCTTTTTGTAATTTTCAAGGTACTCCTTGGGAGGTTTTCTCATCTTTTCCAGACACTTAGCCATCATGTAGTGTTGTAGCCATTCCTCTTCATTCTCCTCACTCTCACACTCACTCGCTTTCTTATAACAATTAAATGCAGTCTGCAACATCTCCTGTCGGCTGTCTGATGCAATCTGCTCTAGTTCCGCAGTCAATGGAAACCAATTTTTCTACAAGAGAAATGTTCAATTCCTTCCTTTTTAACATTATTATTTTATTATTATTTTTTATACATTGTGTGTAACTTGACCACAGGTTGTACAGCTCTGGAATCTCATGTAGATTTTATATATTGATACTTCTAGTATCGACAAAAACGTTTTGTAAAGTTTAACTGCTAGTTAAGTCATACAATTTCACAGTACAGTTCAAGAAATGATATAATATAAAGTTTTGGTTAGTATAGGTCTTGAGTTGGCCATTGGCATTTAAGGAAAAAAAACTGAAGATAATCACCTAGCGATTACATATTTTTGATGTGTGACTACAGTGAAGTATTCCTCCTTACCCATTTAAGCTGCCGTGAGGCGTGGGAGTGGAGCTGATATGCCAATGAACCGTATTCTATCCACAGTTTTGCGTTGCAATCATCAATTTCAACAGCTCTTCGGAAACAACGAAGAGCTCCGATAGATTTCCTGTAAATTGGCATGTCCATCTTCAGGGCTGTCTAAAATTTATAATACAACAGATGTAATATAATACAACAGACTGACGTAATATACCAGAGTCACTCACCCTGTCTGCAATTCATAATACAACAGATGTAATATACCAGTTATATAACCTTAACTAGACACTGGTTCACAGACTTCACTTTGATAACCTTTACTAGACACTGGTTCACAGACTTCACTTTGATAACCTTAACTAGACACTGGTTCACAGACTTCACTTTGATAACCTTAACTAGACACTGGTTCACAGACTTCACTTTGATAACCTTAACTAGACACTGGTTCACAGACTTCACTTTGATAACCTTAACTAGACACTGGTTCACAGACTTCACTTTGATAACCTTAACTAGACACTGGTTCACAGACTTCACTTTGATAACCTTAACTAGACACTGGTTCACAGACTTCACTTTGATAACCTTAACTAGACACTGGTTCACAGACTTCACTTTGATAACCTTAACTAGACACTGGTTCACAGACTTCACTTTGATAACCTTAACTAGACACTGGTTCACAGACTTCACTTTGATAACCTTAACTAGACACTGGTTCACAGACTTCACTTTGATAACCTTAACTAGACACTGGTTCACAGACTTCACTTTGATAACCTTAACTAGACACTGGTTCACAGACTTCACTTTGATAACCTTTACTAGACACTGGTTCACAGACTTCACTTTGATAACCTTAACTAGACACTGGTTCACAGACTTCACTTTGATAACCTTAACTAGACACTGGTTCACAGACTTCACTTTGATAACCTTTACTAGACACTGGTTCACAGACTTCACTTTGATAACCTTTACTAGACACTGGTTCACAGACTTCACTTTGATAACCTTAACTAGACACTGGTTCACATACTTTCAATAGGTTATAAGAGATTTGAGAGTCAGACAGAAAAAATATGTAGAAACAAAAGATTTAAGACCTTTGAGTTTTAGTCAATGTTTCAATTTACAAAGTTTCCCCTTATATGTATGCTTGAGGTAAAGTCAGACCAATGTCAAGAGTTACCAGAGGTACACTCAGAACAAACAACAGTACACTCAGAACAAATAACAGTACATTCAGAGCAAACAACTGTACACTCAGAACAAACAACAGTACACTCAGACCAAACAACAGTACGCTCAGAACAAACAACAGTACACTCGGAACAAAAAACAGTACACCCAGAACAAATAACAGTACACCCCGAACAAACAACAGTACACTCAGAACAAACAGTACACTCAGAGCAAACAACAGTACACTCAGAACTGTACACTCAGAACAAACAACAGTACACTCAGAACAAACAATGGTACACTCAGAACAAACAACAGTACACTCAGAAGAAATAATGTTACACTCAGAACAAACAACTGTACACTCAGAACAAACAACAGTACACTCAGAACAAACAACAGTACACTCAGAACAAACAACAGTACACTCAGAACAAACAACGGTACACTCAGTACAAACAACGTTAATTGCAGCAAACACTCTTATCTAGGCAATTTTTCTTATAAAGGGTCAGCAAAATGTTTTCTGTAAACTTCAAAATGTTTTCTGTAAACTTCGAAATGTTTTCTGTAAACTTCACAATGTTTCTGGTTCTATCGTACCTTGGTGACTCAATTGTCTCAATATATCACTGAATATTTGCTAAGTAAGAATCCGAATAAAAAACAAGTTAACAAACAAGTTAACATTATAACATAACATTCATCAACAACAGTTGTTAACATTTTCAACTTCAGGAGAAACCAACTATGATGATTAAGAAATTACCGTATAAAAAATAGACATGTTCAGCACATGTGTATTATTTGTGTAAGTTTCAAAAGTTAAGATTACCTTTTCAAATTTTGTGTCTTAACATCAATTCATAATATTGGTTTTTCCTTTTTATATATTTTATATTGATGTAAAACCACAACTTACCACTCAGTTATAAAACAAATGTGTAATAACAATCACCATGGATACGACTCGAAATTAAACACTGATATAAAACAAATGTGTAATAACAATCACCATGGATATGACCCGAAATTAAAGCCCTGATGGGGGGATGAATTATGATATTTTTGAATGCAGCATACATTAGTATATGATATAATTTTCCTCCATTACAGTGTCAGATATTTTCTAGTCATTTCCACATCAAACAAACTCTTTCTTAAACTGAACTTAAATATATCATGCCTGTTACACTCAGTCAGTCACATACAGTTTAAAATCCACATCAAGAAGTAACTTCAGAACTTCCACAGAAAACTGTATTATTTGACTGAGTTACCTCAGAGTCTTCAGTCTCGACCTGTGTGCACAGATACACAGTTGGTAAAAAATTTCAATTTAATGTAAACATACAAATCCTTCATTGTAATAAGGCTGATAATTGTGAAGTGTAANGGGGGGGGGCGGAACAAAATACGCCCGTCGAAAGCCATATAGTGTTATATACTTTCTTACATTGAAATAAGATCTGCATCATTCTAAGAGTAGTTAGCTGATAAGCTATAAAAATGTAGGAGAAAATCTTCGGACAAAAATCAAATACTGAAATGAACAAAAGGCAATAAATTTTGCAAAATCGTCGAATCAAAATTCTTTTAAAGGAAACACAACTTCATATCATGATTATAATGTATACCAAGTTTCAAAGAGATCTGTTGAAAAATGTAGGAGAAGATCTCCGGACAAAAATCAACTACTGAAATGAACAAAGGGCAATAACTTTTGGAAAAATTGTCAAATCAAAATTCTTTTAAGGGAAACACAACTTCATATCATGATTATAATGTATTCCAAGTTTTAAAGAGATCGGTCTAAAAATGTAGGAGGAGATCTCCGGACAAAAATCAAATACTGAAATGAACAAAGGGCAATAACTTTTGGAAAAATTGTCGAATCGAAATTCTTTTAAGGGAGACACAACTTCATATCATAATTATAATGTATACCAAGTTTCAAATAGATCGGTCGAAAAATGTAGGAGGAGATTGCCGGACAAACAAAGTTTACGACGGACGGACGGATGGACAACGCCATACCATAATACTACCGTCAAATTTGAAGGTCGTATAAAAAGAGTTATCTAGGTGTTTAAGCTAGCAAGGATATTTGTCAGGATTATCCAGGTGTCGATGCTATTAATGAGGTTTTTATGTATTTGACTACGTCAATAATGATTTGAAATATAGTATTTATAGTTCAAATCAAATGTCCATTTCAATTACAGTTACACGAGATTCTATGAGTGATAAACTAAACCTGGATTGGAGATAGATTTATGACCATATGTCTCAGTTAAACATAGGTATTCAGTGACAACCTTTACTTATTAACCTTGCACTTATCACTAATAAAATATGATACTTGTTTAACCACTTAATGAGGTACAGTTGTAACAAAGATATACAAATAAAGCTTACAGGCAAGTGGTAACATAGGAAATATTTCACTTACAGAACTGAGTTTCTGTTCCAACTGACTCATGCGCGCGAGTCCCATGCCTGCCCAGGAGTCCAGACGTGTAGGGTTCATACAAATGTCACTCATGTAGAACCTCACTGCCTTCCTGTTAATGGGTCAACAGTTCACAAATTATTGTCTTTCTTTACACAATGTATAATATCATCTTTATACATTGTATAATATCATCTCTATACATTATATAATATCATCTTTAAACATTGTATATCATCTTTATACAATGTATAATATCATCTTTATACATTGTATAATATCATCTTTATACATTGTATAATATCTTTTTTATACATTGTATATCCTTTTTATACATTGTATAATATCATCTTTATACATTGTTTAATATCAAATTATAATATACTTATTCTTCTTCTGAATATTCCTATTACGTGTGTCAGATTAGGAAACCAATACAATTCTTTGTAAATAAAAACATGGTGTGGTGCCTTTTCTTTTGTCCTGAATTCATCTTACCACTGTTAAATACTCATGATTTACACAATTGTGGTGGTTCAAAAATGATGTTCTGTACAGAATACATCTGTATCAAGTAAACTTACGCCTGTTCTTTGTTCTTGAAATAGTAGTCTGCTAATAAATAGTACAACTCCTTAGAAACAGTTCTGAAATGTAAATCATCAGTTATATACAGTACTGATTACAACATGTTAATCATCACTTATATACAGTACTGATTACAACATGTAAATCATCAGTATTATTGATTATATTGCTGGTAAACCTGTCAGTGACCTGGTCAAAAACAGAGTGACCTACTTTGATATACGACACACCGCCTCACCAAGACGAACCCATACTCCAAGTATAGAGTTCCAGTGACTAGTAGTGAAGGAGATAGAGCCTGGAAAAACTTTTACTTTGATGCAGGTCCAAGGTCAAAATGTAGGTCAGAGTGACTTAATTTTAATATGCGACACACCGTCTCACCAAGTTGAACCCATACCTCTAGTATGAAGTTCCAGTGTCAGGTAGTGTAGGAGAAAGAGCCCAGACAAGATAGCGGAAGGACAAACAGAAGGACGGAAGGACAGAAAGACGGAAGGACGGACCGACACGACACAAAAAATATAGTCCCAGTGGGGGACTAATAAGAGCATTCTAAAACAATGTGTGTTCCAACATTGTGCCCATCATAATTTCATTTCAAATGACTCAAACTTCTCAGCATTTTCCCCTCTCAAAATAACATGTTCAACACTTTATTGATTGTATTAGTACTTCATCTTTCAAAATTTAAAATACTGATGCACATGTCCTACTTCTGGTGAATCTGATTACCTACAACAGATGTACAATGTTGGGGTTTCGTGGAATATTGGTGTTGTTCTCCATGTATTACTTACGACAGATGTTTAGTTTCTGGATTAGGTGGGATATTGGTGTTGTTCTCCATGTATTACTTACGACAGATGTTTGGTTTCTGGATTAGGTGGGATATTGGTGTTACCCTCTATGTATTCCTGCAAATTTTCCATTAGTTTTGCTGTAAATAGAATATCAGAGATTATTTAGTATCTGTACTAGACAGATGATCCCTCTCTTAACACTCAAGTAATCACAATCATGCAAAATCAGCAAATGTACAGGATACGTTGTTTAAGTTTGTTTAAATTATTTTACCTGGCTTCTCTGACTCTGGAACAAGCTGTGCAATTCTTTTCAGTAAAAACTCCATCTGTAATGAAATATTAATAGCATATTACAGAGAACGTTCACCAAGTGTTGATTAAGATATAGAATTGTGACTTCATTTGCAACAGGGTTGTGGTGAAAAAATGTCAATGGGACGGAAATGATGAAACCCCGCCATGTGCCTGAACATTTATATCCTATATATTTGCCAAGCAGAAGCCACAGTGAAGGTTTTTGACTTTAGAATATTGATACCTACAGTACCATGAACAAAATCAAACCAACTGGACACGTAGTTGCCATCTAAAAGGTTTCGCCCAATTGAAAGCCATCTTGGATTATGAGACATATAAGCTAACAAGACTGATATAATTGTAATTTGTAAAAAATATTTTGAAGAAATGATCTGTTTCAAATTTCTCACATCTCCAGACACGGCATCAGCCTTATAGCTATCAAACTCTGGCACAGAGTTGGGTTTGAAGTATTCAAAGATTTTCTGGGCGCTGTCCCAGGTAAGGTCTATCTGTGAAGCGTTGTGGTCCATTAGATGACGCGCACGCCCCTTCTTGTTGGGATGACCAAACAGACAGTACACACACTGCTCATATGACTGTTCAAGGTCACGTTTGAATTGACAAGATCCAGTCAAGAATTCCTGGGCAACGTCTAGATAGAAGAGCAGCAGAGATCCATTTGATTTTGTACACCAACTATGCCTGCAAATAACAAAACAAATAACTGGATCTCAAACTCACAACAACAACAAAATCTGTGCATTCCCCATAATAATACAGTTTGTATATAACAAAACATATTTAAAAATGTTTTATTTGTTACTAAATAGCATTTTCAATTATTTAAGTATTTTCCAGTTTCCTGTCTTTATATGGTCCTATATTTCAGAATTATATAAACTTGTCAGTCTGAACAACATGGCAGTTGTGGTATTTAACGATATCTCGTAAAGCTGTGTTCTCAAAGATGTTTGAAGATACAGGTGTTGATGCGTCACTGCTACCTACCTGGCCAGGTATTCGTGAGCTATATTTAGCAGCATGAGGTAAGAGGGCATCCCGTCTAACAGGTCAGTCTGACCAGCTTCTGGAGTCGACACTTGCATGGATCGGATCTTGTTTTCCTCACTATAACAACAATTGATCAGAAATTATTACTTCATACTCACATAGAATCTTAAAACGATTTTTGGTCCAGATGATTTGAAACACTTCAATTTTTTTATGGTTGGTAATGTGATGCTGTGAATAGTGCAACAGTGTTCCTGATGAGAAAATTTCTGTTTCAATTTCTCAATTTAAATGAAAAATAGAAAAAGAATCACAACTTCATCAACTTTGAAAAATCTGTACAACTTCCGCAGGAAAAGGTTTTCTTTTCAGAAATGCTTTTTAAAGGTGTAGTTATGTCAGAGAACAATCCCAATGCATAGTTACAGCTTACGGCAGTGACAGGGGGATCCTTTTTAACTGTCATTCTGCTGGTTACTCACAATTTAATTAACTTGTATAGAAGTATCCATGGTAACACCGTGCCTATGGGCATTTCCACGGCAATATCTGGAGCTGCCATTGTAGTGTCAATTATGTTGATTAAATTTCTTGCCAGTCGCACCAGGTTGATGCTTGGCACATCTTTCAAAACATCATCCTTTTTGTCTAGTACCCTGTAACACAATGAAAAGGAAAAGAAAATATGTAAGGAAATTAATGTAGCAGCTTTCGTGGTAGTGTGTAGATCTCTTTAAACAAACATATGTGGTAGTGTGTAGATCTCTATAAACAAACATTTGTGGTAGTGTGTAGATCTCTATAAACAAACATACGTGGTAGTGTATAAATCTCTATAAACAAACATTCGTGGTAGTGTGTAGATCTCTTTAAAAAAACATACGTGGTAGTGTGTAGATCTCTATAAACAAACATTTGTGGTAGTGTGTAGATCTCTTTAAACAAACATTTGTGGTAGTGTGTAGATCTCTATAAACAAACATACGTGGTAGTGTGTAGATCTCTATAAACAAACATTCGTGGTAGTGTGTAGATCTCTATAAACAAACATTCGTGGTAGTGTGTAGATCTCTATAAACAAACATTATTGGTAGTGTGTAGATCTCTTTAAACAAACATTCGTGGTAGTGTGTAGATCTCTATAAACAAACATTCGTGGTAGTGTGTAGATCTCTTTAAACAAACATTCATGGTAGTGTATAAATCTCTATAAACAAACATATGTGGTAGTGTGTTGATCTCTATAAACAAACATTCGTGGTAGTGTATAAATCTCTATAAACAAACATTCGTGGTAGTGTGTAGATCTCTATAAACAAACATTTGTGGTAGTGTGTAGATCTCTTTACACAAACATTTGTGGTAGTGTATAAATCTCTATAAACAAACATTTGTGGTAGTGTATAAATCTCTATAAGCAAACATTCGTGGTAGTGTGTAGATCTCTATAAACAAACATCCGTGGTAGTGTGTAGATCTCTTTAAACCAACATTTGTGGTAATTTATACTATATATTTTTGTACAAAGCCATGAAATAGTGAATCGACAAAACATAAGGATGCTTTACAGTACCAGGGTTTTCGATAAGTGTGTCAATCTAGAAAACAGCTTTATCTACCTGATAGATATAGTAATAAGTGTGTCAATCTAGAGAACAGCTTTATCTACCTGATAGATACGGTAATAAGTGTCAATCTAGAGAACAGCTTTATCTACCTGATAGATATGGTAATAAATGTGTCAATCAAGAGAACAGCTTTATCTACCTGATAGATATAGTAATAAGTGTGTCAATCTAGAGAACAGCTTTATCTACCTGATGGATATGGTAATAAGTGTGTCAATCTAGATAGCAGCTTTATCTACCTGATAGATATGGTAATAAGTGTGTCAATCTAGATACCAGCTTTATCTACCTGATAGATATGGTAATAAGTGTAGCAATCTGGAGAAAATGTTTATCTTACCTGATAAGGTTCTCACATATTTGGGTGAGTGTGGCACTCCAGGCATCTTTCTGTTCTGAAGTGCTGGCCCTCTTATAATACTGCACGGCCTCATTGAAAGACACCTCACCCCACACCATACCTTTCTGATAATAAATATCAATAAGTCAGGATAAAGCTATGTAAATTAAGGACAGAGGTAGGACAAATTGAACAGGCATTCCAACCAATAAAGAACTTCAGTCCAAGGCACTTCAAATGGTGTTGTACAGTTTTTCCACCAAGCAGGGACATCAGAACAAGAACACATCTACAATCCATATGAGAACTTTGAGCAGATGACTCAAGTCAGCCTACAGACCCTATATTAGGTAGGAAACGTACAGTGAGAGGACAAGGATACACTTACCGTGTGGGCCTCCAGGGAACGTACAGTGAGAGGACAAGGATACACTTACCTTGTGGGCCTCCAGGGAACGTACAGTGTGAGGACAAGGATACACTTACCTTGTGGGCCTCCAGGGAACGTACAGTGAGAGGACAAGGATACACTTACCTTGTGGGCCTCCAGGGAACGTACAGTGTGAGGACAAGGATACACTTACCTTGTGGGCCTCCAGGGAACGTACAGTGAGAGGACAAGGATACACTTACCTTGTGGGCCTCCAGGGAACGTACAGTGTGAGGACAAGGATACACTTACCTTGTGGGCCTCCAGGGAACGTACAGTGAGAGGACAAGGATACACTTACCTTGTGGGCCTCCAGGGAACGTACAGTGAGAGGACAAGGATACACTTACCTTGTGGGCCTCCAGGGAACGTACAGTGTGAGGACAAGGATACACTTACCTTGTGGGCCTCCAGGGAACGTACAGTGAGAGGACAAGGATACACTTACCTTGTGGGCCTCCAGGGAACGTACAGTGAGAGGACAAGGATACACTTACCTTGTGGGCCTCCAGGGAACGTACAGTGTGAGGACAAGGATACACTTACCTTGTGGGCCTCCAGGGAACGTACAGTGAGAGGACAAGGATACACTTACCTTGTGGGCCTCCAGGGAACGTACAGTGAGAGGACAAGGATACACTTACCTTGTGGGCCTCCAGGGAACGTACAGTGAGAGGACAAGGATACACTTACCTTGTGGGCCTCCAGGGAACGTACAGTGAGAGGACAAGGATACACTTACCTTGTGGGCCTCCAGGGAACGTACAGTGAGAGGACAAGGATACACTTACCTTGTGGGCCTCCAGGGAACGTACAGTGAGAGGACAAGGATACACTTACCTTGTGGGCCTCCAGGGAACGTACAGTGAGAGGACAAGGATACACTTACCTTGTGGGCCTCCAGGGAACGTACAGTGAGAGGACAAGGATACACTTACCTTGTGGGCCTCCAGGGAACGTACAGTGAGAGGACAAGGATACACTTACCTTGTGGGCCTCCAGGGAACGTACAGTGAGAGGACAAGGATACACTTACCTTGTGGGCCTCCAGGGAACGTACAGTGAGAGGACAAGGATACACTTACCTTGTGGGCCTCCAGGGAACGTACAGTGAGAGGACAAGGATACACTTACCTTGTGGGCCTCCAGGGAACGTACAGTGTGAGGACAAGGATACACTTACCTTGTGGGCCTCCAGGGAACGTACAGTGAGAGGACAAGGATACACTTACCTTGTGGGCCTCCAGGGAACGTACAGTGAGAGGACAAGGATACACTTACCTTGTGGGCCTCCAGGGAACGTACAGTGTGAGGACAAGGATACACTTACCTTGTGGGCCTCCAGGGAACGTACAGTGAGAGGACAAGGATACACTTACCTTGTGGGCCTCCAGGGAACGTACAGTGAGAGGACAAGGATACACTTACCTTGTGGGCCTCCAGGGAACGTACAGTGTGAGGACAAGGATACACTTACCTTGTGGGCCTCCAGGGAACGTACAGTGAGAGGACAAGGATACACTTACCTTGTGGGCCTCCAGGGAACGTACAGTGAGAGGACAAGGATACACTTACCTTGTGGGCCTCCAGGGAACGTACAGTGTGAGGACAAGGATACACTTACCTTGTGGGCCTCCAGGGAACGTACAGTGAGAGGACAAGGATACACTTACCTTGTGGGCCTCCAGGGAACGTACAGTGTGAGGACAAGGATACACTTACCTTGTGGGCCTCCAGGGAACGTACAGTGAGAGGACAAGGATACACTTACCTTGTGGGCCTCCAGGGAACGTACAGTGAGAGGACAAGGATACACTTACCTTGTGGGCCTCCAGGGAACGTACAGTGTGAGGACAAGGATACACTTACCTTGTGGGCCTCCAGGGAACGTACAGTGAGAGGACAAGGATACACTTACCTTGTGGGCCTCCAGGGAACGTACAGTGAGAGGACAAGGATACACTTACCTTGTGGGCCTCCAGGGAACGTACAGTGTGAGGACAAGGATACACTTACCTTGTGGGCCTCCAGGGAACGTACAGTGAGAGGACAAGGATACACTTACCTTGTGGGCCTCCAGGGAACGTACAGTGAGAGGACAAGGATACACTTACCTTGTGGGCCTCCAGGGAACGTACAGTGTGAGGACAAGGATACACTTACCTTGTGGGCCTCCAGGGAACGTACAGTGAGAGGACAAGGATACACTTACCTTGTGGGCCTCCAGGGAACGTACAGTGTGAGGACAAGGATACACTTACCTTGTGGGCCTCCAGGGAACGTACAGTGAGAGGACAAGGATACACTTACCTTGTGGGCCTCCAGGGAACGTACAGTGAGAGGACAAGGATACACTTACCTTGTGGGCCTCCAGGGAACGTACAGTGTGAGGACAAGGATACACTTACCTTGTGGGCCTCCATCTTGTAGAGAGAGTCCTGGAGGAGCAGTAACTGTGACTGGCGCTCTGGTATTGCTGTTCTGAACGCCATCGTCTACAAAAACATTTGCAAGTCATTTGTTAGATACAATACAGTCTTTGGCAATCAACAACAAATCTTAAAACAGAATAACATTAGTATTTCTAAATCGACATCTATTGATTGGTATTCACGTCCTTAAACATAACCTCCCCTTATCACTGGCCTTCCACCTTCTACCTTCAGTCTCTCCCCTTCTTCTGATCAAACCATTCCTTACCTTGCCCTTGAGTTGTGGCTGTGTAAATGTCTGAAGTATAAAATCCACCACCTTTTCATAGTTCCCGGACTCGTACAGCTTCTGTGTTTCGTCAAGTGACTGACATCTGTGCAGTGACTCCTGGTGGCTCTTTACCTGGTCTGTGTAAACAGGGCAGATAACAAAGTAACGACCATCTGTCACCATTCTTAGTTAGTACTGTTAACACGTCTGGATTCCTACTATAGTAGCTATGTTTTATCAGAAGACTTTTCCCCCAATGTCTGAGCAACTCTTACAGCTCTATAGCTTTTATCTTTACCATTTCTGAGATGTCATCTACAATCTTTTCTTAAAATTGTTTATTATTTCCTGTTTATTTTAATAACACAGAATTACTGACCATGACAGCAATATTAACACTTTGAGTTCCTGGTTTAAAATAACATAATCTATTATTTCTAAATTTTGCAGGTACTAGAACTTCAAATCTTTATTACTGTACAGTGTACAAACAAAGTGATCATTTCTGACCCTAGTGCCACATTAGGGTGTTTACCTCTAGATATGAGGCGGTCCATTTTACAGTTTCTGACCCTAGTGCCACGTGCCACATTAGGGTGTTTACCTATAGATATGAGGCAGTCCATTTTACAGTTTCTGACCCTAGTGCCACATAGAGTGTTTACCTCTCTGGCCCAGGCGGTCCATTTTACAGTTTCTGACCCTAGTGCCACGTGCCACATTAGGGTGTTTACCTATAGATATGAGGCGGTCCATTTTACAGTTTCTGACCCAGTGCCACATTAAGGTGTTTACCTATAGATATGAGGCGGTCCATTTTACAGTTTCTGACCCTAGTGCCACATTAGGGTGTTTAGCTATAGATATGAGGCAGTCCATTTTACAGTTTCTGACCCTAGTGCCACATTAGGGTGTTTACCTATAGATATGAGGCGGTCCATTTTACAGTTGACAAGACATATCTTGGTAGGCTCCCCTTGCTTCTCCGCATACTCCAAATACTCAAAAGTCTGAAATATTTATATTTTTGATGAAGCAGTTCTCCAATTAAATATAAAATATTTTTTTATGATTGTAACGCCTTAACCCTTGCGAGGGAAAGAAGATTCCCAGTGTATGGGAGCTAACTTTTCTAAGACTTTTAGGTTACAGACAGGTTTAATTTCAAAATGAAACACTTTGAATTCCAGACTGTGAAAGTTTTTAATAAAGGATTCCCAAAGGCCATGTCATGTTTAATTTTATAACTGTTCATATACATCAATATTTCTCATCCAGTGATTTCAGCACCACACAGTCACTTCTATTAAAGTAAAACTACATTAATTATACTAAAAAAAACACAAATTCAACACAATAAATAGACATGAAAATAACATAACAGCCTATTTTTAGTTTTAAGACTAGGTCTCACCTTTTGGAAACAATAAAGGGCATCATCCATCTTGCCTTGTAACATGTAAAATCTGGCCTTCATCCAGTACACTGTAACACACACCAGCTATGTTTATTAGACGACACATTACTAAATAGTAACACACACCAGCTATGTTTATTAGACAACACAATACTAAATAGTAACACACACCAACTACAACTGTTAGACAACACATAACTAAATAGTAACACACACCACTGTCAGACAACACATCACTAAAAAGTAACACACATCGACTTCAACTGTTAGACAACACATCACTAAATAGTAACCCACACCAACTACAACTTTTATACAACACATTACTAAGTAGTAACACACACTAACTACAACTGTCAGACAACACCTTACTACATAGTAACACACACCAGCTATGTTTATAAGCAGACACATTACTAAATATTATCACACATCAACTAAAACGGTAACACACACCAACTATGCTTATTAGACGACACATTACCAAATAGTAACACACACCCACTACAACTGTTAGAAAACACATCACTAAATAGTAACACACACCAACTACAACTGTCAGACAACACATCACTAAATAGTAACACACATCAACTACAACTGTCAGACAACACATTACTAAATAGTAACACACACCAACTACAACTGTTAGACAACACATTACTAAATAGTAACACACACTAACTACAACTGTTATACAACACATTACTAAATAGTAACACACACCAACTACAACTGTTATACAACACATTACTAAATAGTAAGACACATCAACTACAACTGTTATACAACACATTACTAAATAGTAACATACACTAACTACAACTGTTAGACAACACATTACTAAATAGTAACACACACTAACTACAACTGTTATACAACACATTACTAAATAGTAACATACACTAACTACAACTGTTAGACAACACATTACTAAATAGTAACACCCACTAACTACAACTGTTATACAACACATTACTAAATAGTAACACACACTAACTACAACTGTTAGACAACACATTACTAAATAGTAACACACACCAACTACAACTGTTAGACAACACATTACTAAATAGTAACACACACCAACTACAACTGTTAGACAACACATTACTAAATAGTAACACACACCAACTACAACTGTTAGACAACACATTACTAAATAGTAACACACACCAACTACAACTGTTAGACAACACATTACTAAATAGTAACACACACCAACTACAACTGTTAGACAACACATTACTAAATAGTAACACACACCAACTACAACTGTTAGACAACACATTACTAAATAGTAACACACACCAACTACAACTGTTAGACAACACATTACTAAATAGTAACACACACCAACTACAACTGTTAGACAACACATTACTAAATAGTAACACACACCAACTACAACTGTTAGACAACACATTACTAAATAGTAACACACACCAACTACAACTGTTAGACAACACATCACTAAATAGTAACACACATCAACTACAACTGTTAAGCAACACATTACTAAATAGTATCACACATCAACTAAAACTGTAACACACACCAACTACAACTGTTAGACAACACATCACTAAATAGTAACAAACACCAATTACAACTGTTAGACAACACATTACTAAATAGTAACACACACCAACTACAACACCTTTCTAAATTGTAGTAACTTTTATAAACTCAAACTGATTCCTAATCTCACATGTAACTGAATTTATATAAAAAAAAATGGAATATTTTTTCGCCGAAAAAAACATTTATTTTTACATCAAAAAGTGCATTAAATAATAATAAACAAGAATCAGGTTCAACCTTGAAATTAAAAAAGCTGAGTTAAGACATTCCATGTAAATGGAAGTGTCCATACACACCTCGAATGCAATGAGGGAGCCAGTTTGACCCCATGACCTCACCACATCCTGTCAATCCAGTGATAAACCAGAGGTCATCATTACAATGAGGGGGAAGGTCAGATGTATGCAGCTGCTGCGACCCTGGACTGTGAATTAAACTTACAGAGTTAACATCTAACATGTCAATCAAACTGAATTAACATCTAACATGTCAATCAAACAGAGTTAACATCAAACATGTCAATCAAACTGAGTTAACATCTAACATGTCAATCAAACAGAGTTAACATCTAACATGTCAATCAAACTAAATTAACATCTTACAAACTAAGTGATGGGGGAGGTCAGATATCTGGATGTGCTGACACCCTGGACTCAATTAAACATCAAACATGTCAATCAAACTGAATTAACATCTAACAAACTAAGTGATGGGGGAGGTCAGATATCTGGATGTGCTGACACCATGGACTGTCAATTAAACATCAAACATGTCAATCAAACTGAATTAACATCTAACAAACTTAGTGATGGGGGAGGTCAGATATCTGGATGTACTGACACTCTGGACTGTCAATTAAACATCAAACATGTCAATCAAACAGAATTAACATCTAACAAACTAAGTGATGGGGGAGGTCAGATATATGGATCTGCTGACACCCTGGACTGTCAATTAAACTTACAGAGTTAACATCTAAAATGTCAATCAAACCGTACGACGTCTTACCTCCTCGGGGAACTACCAGGTGAGAGGCTCATTCTGTTATTGACAATCCACTGATCTAACTGGAATTCTGCTGCTAACTGGCATGTCTGTTCAAAGAGATATGTATCAGCATACTGAATAATGGTTAATTTAGGGCTAGATTGAATATATGGGGAGAGGCAAGGAGGCACTAGAGCTAAAACAATTGTTAACATCCATCTTTCCTCAAATTAGTTTTCAGAATAGATGTTAGTTTAATTTCTCCCTTATTGATAATTTGAGGCAATGAATTACTAAGATCCAAGGCAATGAATCACTAAGATCCAAGGCAATGAACCACTAAGATCCAAGGCAATGAATCACTAAGATCCAAGGCAATGAATCACTAAGATCCAAGGTTATGAATCACTAAAATCCAAGGCAATGAATTACTAAGATCCAAGGCAATGAATTACTAAGATCTAAGGCAATGAATTACTAAGATCCAAGGCAATAAATTACTAAGATCCAAGGCAATGAATTACTAATATCCAAGGCAATGAATCACTAAGATCCAAGGCAATGAATCACTAAGATCCAAGGCAATGAATTACTAATATCCAAGGCAATGAATTACTAAGATCCAAGGCAATGAATTACTAAGATGCAAGGCAATGAATTACTAAGATCCAAGGCAATGAATTACTAAAATGCAAGGCAATGAATTACTAAGATCCATCTAAACATGTGTTGATAACATACAAGACCATTGACAACTTAACAAGTTCTGTGTACAATGACTTCCTGATATTACAGTGAACCGTTTGAATTTCACAGAGTCAAACTTTGAGTGTTGCATTTGGTCTGCATTTGTAGTGATTTTCATTGCATCTATACCAACCAATAACTTTATTTGCAAAACGAGTCCAGACTAATCAAACTGTGAAATACAATCCTTATATAACCTGTGATTTTAAAAAGGTGTACAACAAAATAGATAAAAGCTGTTCTTACCTTCCCTAAATTCTGTGTGTATTCCTCACACTCTCCCAAGCTACAAAACAAACAGTACAGGTAAGAATTCACAGGAGAATCAACGTCTTAAACAAAATTAATCATTTTTCTTCATGCCCCTGTTTTATGAATATTCTGAACTCTGGGAACAGTCTCGAATTTCAACATTCCTCTGAAATATTTCAGCTTTACCTTTTCAGCATATGACAGACTAACTAGGACAGTTATGCCTCTGCTCCCATAAAAGTAGAGTCAATAATGGTGACTATGATTTTGACCTTTGAACTTGGACCTTCAAACATATTCTGGGTTTTCTCATACTTGATCTCTGTAGAAAGATTTAACAAAACCCATTAAAAAATGGGAGCACTAATGCGATGGCACTGAATGAAGATGGGTAATGAAAGGACAGGACGAAATGGGTAACACTATATGCTCGGAGATCCTACATAGATCTACCATCAGGTACCAGTGATACTCACCTAAAGATGGTTAGGAGAGATCCTACATAGATCTACCATCAGGTACCAGTAATACTCACCTAAAGATGGCTAGGAGATCCTACATAGATCTACCATCAGGTACCAGTAATACTCACCTAAAGATGGCTAGGAGATCCTACATAGATCTACCATCAGGTACCAGTAATACTCACCTAAAGATGGCTAGGAGATCCTACATAGATCTACCATCAGGTACCAGTAATACTCACCTAAAGATGGCTAGGAGATCCTACATAGATCTACCATCAGGTACCAGTAATACTCACCTAAAGATGGCTAGGAGATCCTACATAGATCTACCATCAGGTACCAGTAATACTCACCTAAAGATGGCTAGGAGATCCTACATAGATCTACCATCAGGTACCAGTAATACTCACCTAAAGATGGCTAGGAGATCCTACATAGATCTACCATCAGGTACCAGTAATACTCACCTAAAGATGGCTAGGAGATCCTACATAGATCTACCATCAGGTACCAGTAATACTCACCTAAAGATGGCTAGGAGATCCTACATAGATCTACCATCAGGTACCAGTAATACTCACCTAAAGATGGCTAGGAGATCCTACATAGATCTACCATCAGGTACCAGTAATACTCACCTAAAGATGGCTAGGAGATCCTACATAGATCTACCATCAGGTACCAGTAATACTCACCTAAAGATGGCTAGGAGATCCTACATAGATCTACCATCAGGTACCAGTAATACTCACCTAAAGATGGCTAGGAGATCCTACATAGATCTACCATCAGGTACCAATGATACTCACCTAAAGATATCAGGCATATCGAAGTGCTTCCTAGTGCGGCTATACACCTTCAGAAACACGTCCGTCAGTCCCATTGGCCTGGCATAAGTTAAATAAAGTTTTTACAAGTACAATAGATTCTATACTGGTACAATAGATTCTATACTGGTACAATAGATTTTATACTGGTACAATTCAGTTTTTATCATGACTAGTTCATAGCTATTCTTTAAGGGTGATATAGTGAAAAAGTGTAAATTCATGCATTGGGATTCTCAAAACCGATCCTTGTGTGGAAATATTCACGTTGGCAATGGCACTAATTTACCAAACATAAAAAAATAAGCATTTCTACAATGCCAAAATTAACACGTTTACATTAGTACTTCTTAATATGGAATTTTACCATAAATTCCCCAAAAAGCAAATGAAATCTGAGCATACCAATTAGTTTCTCCATATTTTGCTAAGATGAAGAGATAGCGCAACATCAGACAAATGGTTCCTCCGTTTTTGATGTTCTGCTTTAAGAATTCTCTGACCTCTGTATCCTCAGACTTGGCCAGTTTCTGTTCCTCGGGGATCATCTCTACCTCACCACCTATCATACAAGGAGAGCTTGCCTTTAATGAAGTCTTTTTACAAGCTAAACAACTTAATTGATTAAAATTAGATATAATTAGTTACCTCAAACCATCTTCTGATGTCATTTTAGAATGGGAATCCGATGTAGTTTTAGAATGGGAATCTGATGCCATTTTAGAATGGGAATACGATGTCATTTTAGAATGGAAATACGATGTCATTTTAGAATGGGAATACAATGTCATTTTAGAATGGGAATACAATGTCATTTTAGAATGGAAATACAATGTCATTTTAGAATGGGAATCTGATGCCATTTTAGAATGGGAATACGATGTCATTTTAGAATGGGAATACAATGTCATTTTAGAATGGAAATACCATGTTAGTTTAGAATGGGAATACAATGTCATTTTAGAATGGGAATACAATGTCATTTTAGAATGGGAATATGATGTCGGTTTAGAATGGGAATACGATGCCATTTTAGAATGGGAATACAATGTCATTTTAGAATGGGAATACAATGTCAGTTTAGAATGGGAATACAATGTCATTTTAGAATGGGAATACAATGTCATTTTAGAATGGGAATACAATGTCATTTTAGAATGGGAATACAATGTCATTTTAGAATGGGAATACAATGTCATTTTAGAATGGGAATACAATGTCATTTTAGAATGGGAATACAATGTCATTTTAGAATGGGAATACAATGTCATTTTAGAATGGGAATACAATGTCATTTTAGAATGGGAATACAATGTCATTTTAGAATGGGAATACAATGTCATTTTAGAATGGGAATACAATGTCATTTTAGAATGGGAATACAATGTCATTTTAGAATGGGAATACAATGTCATTTTAGAATGGGAATACAATGTCATTTTAGAATGGGAATACAATGTCATTTTAGAATGGGAATACAATGTCATTTTAGAATGGGAATACAATGTCATTTTAGAATGGGAATACAATGTCATTTTAGAATGGGAATACGATGTCATTTTAGAATGGGAATACGATGTCATTTTAGAATGGGAATACAATGTCATTTTAGAATGGGAATACAATGTCATTTTAGAATGGGAATACAATGTCATTTTAGAATGGGAATACAATGTCATTTTAGAATGGGAATACAATGTCATTTTAGAATGGGAATACAATGTCATTTTAGAATGGGAATACAATGTCATTTTAGAATGGGAATACGATGTCATTTTAGAATGGGAATACGATGTCATTTTAGAATGGGAATACGATGTCAGTTTAGAATGGGAATACAATGTCATTTTAGAATGGGAATACAATGTCATTTTAGAATGGGAATATGATGTCAGTTTAGAATGGGAATACGATGCCATTTTAGAATGGGAATACAATGTCATTTTAGAATGGGAATATGATGTCAGTTTAGAATGGGAACATTATAACATTGGTGTGATGTGTACCTGTGGTCTTTTCTTCCCCACTTTGTTCCTGCACCACCAGCATTTCAGTATCCTCCTCCTCATTAAGTTGTCTGAAGTAATCCAAAGTTCAGAAACATCATAGATATTTCAGTGTTTAATCCACTACAGCAATGTATGAGAACAGATCTGTTATACTGATATTCTAGTGTTTAACCCACTTCAGCAATGTATGAGATCAGATCTGTTATACTGATATTCCAGTCTTTAACCCACTTCAGCAATGTATGATAACAGATCTGTTATACTGATATTCCAGTCTTTAACCCACTTCAGCAATGTATGATAACAGATCTGTTACACTGATATTCCAGTCTTTAACCCACTACAGCAATGTATGAGATCAGATCTGTTATACTGATATTCCAGTCTTTAACCCACTTAAGCAATGTATGAGAACAGATCTGTTATACTGATATTCTAGTGTTTAACCCACTTCAGCAATGTATGAGATCAGATCTGTTATACTGATATTCCAGTCTTTAACCCACTCCAGCAATGTATGATAACAGATCTGTTATACTGATATTCTAGTGTTTAACCCACTACAGCAATGTATGAGAACAGATCTGTGATACTGTTATTCCAGTCTTTTACCCACTACAGCAATGTATGAGAACAGATCTGTTATACTGATATTCTAGTGTTTAACCCACTACAGCAATGTAAGATCTGTTATATTGATATTCTAGTGTTTAACCCACTACAGCAATGTAAGATCTGTTATATTGATATTCTAGTGTTTAACCCACTACAGCAATGTAAGATCTGTTATATTGATATTCTAGTGTTTAACCCACTACAGCAATATATGAGAACAGATCTGTGATACTGTTATTCCAGTCATTTACCCACTACAGCAAGGTATGAGAACAGATCTGTTATACTGATATTCCAGTCTGTAACCCACTACAGCAATGTATGAGAACAGATCTGTAATACTGTTATTCCAGTCTTTTACCCACTACAGCAATGTATGAGAACAGATCTGTTGAGCTTGTTAAATGATCTGTTATACTGATATTCCAGTCTTTAACCCACTTCAGCAATGTATGATAACAGATCTGTTATACTGATATTCTAGTGTTTAACCCACTACAGCAATATATGAGAACAGATCTGTGATACTGTTATTCCAGTCTTTTACCCACTACAGCAATGTATGAGAACAGATCTGTTGAGCTTGTTAAATGATCTGTTATACTGATATTCCAGTCTTTAACCCACTTCAGCGATGTATGAGAACAGATCTGTTATACTGATATTCTAGTGTTTAACCCACTTCAGCAATGTATGATAACAGATCTGTTATACTGATATTCTAGTGTTTAACCCACTACAGCAATGTAAGATCTGTTATACTGATATTCTAGTGTTTAACCCACTACAGCAATGTAAGATCTGTTATATTGATATTCTAGTGTTTAACCCACTACAGCAATATATGAGAACAGATCTGTGATACTGTTATTCCAGTCTTTTACCCACTACAGCAATGTATGAGAACAGATCTGTTATACTGATATTCAAGTCTTTAACCCACTACAGCAATGTATGAGACCAGATCTGTTATACTGATATTCCAGTCTTTAACCCGCTACAGCAATGTATGAGAACAGATCTGTTGAGCTTGTTAAATGATCTGTTATACTGATATTCCAGTCTTTAACCCACTTCGGCAATGTATGAGAACAGATCTGTTATACTGATATTCCAGTCTGTAACCCACTACAGCAATGTATGAGAACAGATCTGTTGAGCTTGTTAAATGATCTGTTATACTGATATTCCAGTCTTTAACCCACTTCAGCAATGTATGATAACAGATCTGTTATACTGATATTCTAGTGTTTAACCCACTACAGCAATATATGAGAACAGATCTGTGATACTGTTATTCCAGTCTTATACCCACTACAGCAATGTATGAGAACAGATCTGTAATACTGTTATTCCAGTCTTTTACCCACTACAGCAATGTATGAGAACAGATCTGTTATACTAATATTCCAGTTTTTAACCCACTACAGCAATGTATGAGAACAGATCTGTGATACTGTTATTCCAGTCATTTACCCACTACAGCAAGGTATGAGAACAGATCTGTTATACTGATATTCTAGTGTTTAACCCACTACAGCAATGTAAGATCTGTTATACTGATATACTAGTGTTTAACCCACTACAGCAATGTATGAGAACAGATCTGTGATACTGTTATTCCAGTCTTATACCCACTACAGCAATGTATGAGAACAGATCTGTGATACTGTTATTCCAGTCTTATACCCACTACAGCAATGTATGAGAACAGATCTGTTGAGCTTGTTAAATGATCTGTTATACTGATATTCCAGTCTTTAACCCCCTTCAGCAATGTATGAGAACAGATCTGTTATACTGGTATTCCAGTCTTTAACCCACTACAGCAATGTATGAGAACAGATCTGTTGAGCTTGTTAAATGATTCCATATGGAACAGGCTCATTGACTTACTTGAGACTGGACGGCAGGAAGGAGATGAGAAGCTCTTCAAAATTTACACTTGGTTCTTCTTTTGGTTTGCTAACATTTCTCACCTAAGAAAATTAACACATGTTATAACAAGATTGAGGGTACTCTATGATCATGTTCCTGAGCAGTATAAATGCAAAAAAAAAAAAACTTTCTGAATTCTTTTAAGTGCAGTTGTACCAAGTTTAATTAAAGCAGGAGGTTCAGCACAGTTGCTGTGTATGGTTACCCAGATTTAAATTTTGAATCTCATTTATTTTTAAGGAGAATCAGCAACATAACAGAACCGTTCTACAGACTTTAATTGGTATCTAATGGTAGATCTATGAACTGAAACATAACTTACCCTGGCACTCCTACGTTTGACGCTGAGACCAAAGTCCTCTGGTATAAACGCTCTCTTTCTCTTTGGTGCCTTGCCACGCCCCTTTACAAGGTCATCTGTCTCTAACGATGCTGCACAAGTGTGGTCATGGAGGGCTAGAGAAAGGTCAAATTCTTGACAGTGACAATTTTACAACATGTCTCTATTGATTAATTATATAATATATGCGACATATAAAACTTGAAATGTCTGTAGAAAACTACAAATAAAGGCACTGGAGCTGTAACAAGAGGCCCAAGGGCCTTATTAGTCACCTGAGTTATATCATAGGTACTGGTAGCTTTTTTTTTATTGTTTAGATGTGATGTGGAAATCAGCATGTATACTAAGTGAAATACAATACTTGTCATGTCATCAAAGGATAAGAATTTTAAAATATTGGTAAATGTCCCCTTTGGGGACCCTAGCCCCTGAGGATGGGGCAGGAATCCCAATTTTACAATGTAACACCCTCATTCACCAAAGATGATTCTAACTAAGTTTGAGTAATTTTCTGCTGAAAATGGATAAAATATACCCAAAAGTGTTATTTCCCTATATAAACTATAGTAAACTTTACCCCCTCCCCAAGGGAGAACGGATAGCTCGGGGGGTCCTGAAAATTTACAATTTAAATAAAGCCTCTGATGATCTTTCTTTCCATGCTGAGAAAATGACTGTAGCACCTCTGAGTCAGGAGAAGAAGATTTTTGAAATATTGGTAAAGTTTCCCTTTGGGGCCCCGCCCTGGCCCCAGGGGTTGGGGTAGGAATCCCAATTTTACAATTTAGTAGCCTCATCTACCAATGATGATTCTGACCAAGTTTAAAAAAAAAATCCATCCACTGGTTCTTCTCAAGAAGTTGAAAATGTAAAAAGTGTACGCAAGACGGACAACGCAGATGGAAAGCGTAGAATAGGTCACTTGAGCAAAGCTCAGGTGACCTAAAAATGTATCTTCATATAGTAATGGTGACCTTGACCTTTACTCTTATATGCTGTAACCAGACATTTTTCACGAGCCTTTGAAACTAAATATCTATTATAATTTAAGTAGTGGTGACCTTGATATGTAAACTCGTATACGCTACCTTAGTACTTAACCTCAATGTTGTGACCCTGACCTTAACTTGAATGTAGAATATAGAAACTTGAATGAATTTCAGGCATTTGGTACTAAATCTCTGTGTTAATTTTCTTTAAAATGAGACCACACTAAAGGCGCCACAGAGATAATATCACTGAGGAGAAGATGGATGGAGGGAGAGCTTGAAGGACAGATATGGCCGACACTATATCCCCCATTTCACGACAGTTACATAGGCATTTAAAACTGCACTGTTAACATTTGCTAAATAAAATTATCATCACTGAGAATTATAAACAGACTTTCTGAATGTCGTCTAATGCTAAAATAACTGCTACATACCTGTTACAGGGGATGTTTGGTGTACTCTAGACACAGGTGTAGATAATGCTGAAGGATGTGACAACACGGAAGAGGGCGTTGTGTGTGACAACCCTGACGGAGGCGTTGTGTGTGACAACCCTGACGGAGGTGTTATGTGTGGCAACCCTGATGAAGGCGTTGTGTACGAAATTCCCGAAGAAGGTGTTGTGGGTGGCAGCCCTGTTACTTGCATTGACACAGGTGATATCGGTAGGATCTCTGATACAGGCATTGACACAGGTGATGTCTGTAGTATCTCTGATACAGGCATCGACACAGGTGATGTCGGTAGGATCTCTGATACATGCATTGACACAGGTGATGTCGGTAGGATCTCTTATACAGGCATTGACACAGGTGATGTCTGTAGGATCTCTGATACAGGCATCGACACAGGTGATGTCGGTAGGATCTCTGATACATGCATTGACACAGGTGATGTCGGTAGGATCTCTTATACAGGCATTGACACAGGTGATGTCTGTAGGATCTCTGATACAGGCATCGACACAGGTGATATCGGTAGGATCTCTGAAACAGGCATTGACACAGGTGATATCGGTAGGATCTCTGATACAGGCATTGACACAGGTGATGTCGGTAGGATTTCTGATACAGGCATTGAATGTGGAATTCCTGAAACTGGCATTGGTTGTGGTATCTTTGAGGCAGATATTGTCAATGGAATTCCAGGTGATGTCTGTGGTATCTCTAACACTGGTGATGAGTGTGGCATCCCTGTTGTCTGTGACAACTCTGTTAACGCTGCCTGTGGAATTCCAGGAACAGGGGTTTCTGACGATAGCATCGGCGGAACTCCTGAAGCAGGTAGTAACGGTGGTACACTCGCTGATGTTGATAGTGGTATTTCTGAAACAGTTGCTGTATGAGGAATTTCTGTTATAGGTAATGTCTTCAACATCCCAGAAACAGCTGTCATCTGTGAGATCTCTGTCACAGATTTGGTTGATGGCATCCCTGCACCAGGACTTGTTTGTTGAATCCTCTCTAAGTCTGTAACTTTATCTAGTGGTCCTGATAACGTTGTCACTGGCAGTCCTGATGATGTTACTGGAACTCCTGATGGTAGGGCCAATACAGCAGTTGTCTGGGGTGGCTCAGAAACATCAGACATCTGTTGCAATGGTGATGTCTTGCTTAGAATTTTGGGTAAAACAGTTGTTTCTTGCAGCTCTGAAACACTGAATGACTGCTGTAGTCCAGTTAAAGAACCAGTGTATGACTGTCTCTCCTTATTGCTTGTCTGTAAGTGTTCTTCCTCACTTGTTGACTCTGGTAGATCACACACAGTTGTTACTGTCGACCCAATATCAGTTGTACCGGAGATTCCTGAGACAGTCAGTGGTAACCCAGTACCTGCTGTTGCCTGCATAGGCTCTGAGACAGTTGTTGGTGTCAGTCTTACATCAGCTGTTGTCCGAGGTGAATCTGTCATACTGATGACGTTTGCCTGCTGACTGACAGTAGCCGTTGACAGTGGGGACGATGGCATTATTGCAATTGAAGTGGATGGCACAACAGAAGACTTAGTATCCATTTGATCTTGAATTTCATCAGTATCCATGGCAACATTATCCTTGTCTATCTGAGACTCTGAACAAGCAGCAGCTGACTCCTCCATGACCATCAGAACATCGAGGACTTCGGATGTTCTAGTTCCATCCTTTTTCTGATCCTCTATAGATTGTATTTCTTTGGTAATCACAGGAACAGAATCGACCTCCATTTCCCCAGAATGGTCTGTTGTCTCCTCTATAGCAGGTGATTTAGCCGGTACAACACGAGGTACATCCGTGCAGTTGCTATACTCCGACAGGTCAACACGTAGCCCCAGGCTCTGTAAACATCAAGTATCAGTCAACCTGGATTTTAACCCTTTTTGTACTCCATATTTAGCTGCACAAAATTTTCAACATATCATGTACATGTGAGCCTTAACAAGCTGGACATTTTACTTCATGTCATGTACATGTTAGCCTTAACAAGCTGGACAGTTTACTACATGTCATGTACATGTTATCCTTAGCAAGCTGGAGAGTTTACTACATGTCATGTTCATGTTAGCCTTAACAAGCTGGACATTTTACTTCATGTCATGTACATGTTAGACTTAAGAAGCTGGACAGTTTACTTCATGTCATGTACATGTTAGCCTGAACAAGCTGGACAGTTTATTACATGTCATGTACATGTTAGCCTGAACAAGCTGGACAGTTTAATACATGTCATGTACATGTTACCCTTAACAAGCTGGACATTTTACTTCATGTCATGTACATGTTACCCTTAACAAGCTGGACAGTTTACTTCATGTCATGTACATGTTAGCTTTAACAAGCTGGACAGTTTATTACATGTCATGTACATGTTATCCTTAGCAAGCTGGAGAGTTTACTACATGTCATGTACATGTTACCCTTAACAAGCTGGACATTTTACTTCATGTCATGTACATGTTAGCCTGAACAAGCTGGACAGTTTACTACACGTCATGTAAATGTTAGCCTTAACAAGCTGGACAGGTTACTACATGTCATGTACAGGTTAGCCTTAACAAGCTGGACATTTTACTTCATGTCATGTACATGTTACCCTTAACAAGCTGGACAGTTTAATACATGTCATGTACATGTTAGCCTGAACAAGCTGGACAGTTTACTACACGTCATGTAAATGTTAGCCTTAACAAGCTGGACAGTTTATTACATGTCATGTACATGTTACCCTTAACAAGCTGGACATTTTACTTCATGTCATGTACATGTTAGCCTGAACAAGCTGGACAGTTTAATACATGTCATGTACATGTTAGACTTAAGAAGCTGGACAGTTTACTTCATGTCATGTACATGTTAGACTTAAGAAGCTGGACAGTTTACTTCATGTCATGTACATGTTAGCTTTAACAAGCTGGACAGTTTATTACATGTCATGTACATGTTACCCTTAACAAGCTGGACATTTTACTTCATGTCATGTACATGTTAGCTTTAACAAGCTGGACAGTTTAATACATGTCATGTACATGTTAGCCTGAACAAGCTGGACAGTTTACTACATGTCATGTACAGGTTAGCCTTAACAAGCTGGACATTTTACTTCATGTCATGTACATGTTAGACTTAACAAGCTGGACAGTTTACTACATGTCATGTACATGTTAGACTTAACAAGCTGGACAGGTTACTACATGTCATGTACATGTTACCCTTAACAAGCTGGACATTTTACTTCATGTCATGTACATGTTAGCTTTAACAAGCTGGACAGTTTATTACATGTCATGTACATGTTAGCCTGAACAAGCTGGACAGTTTAATACATGTCATGTACATGTTAGCCTGAACAAGCTGGACAGTTTAATACATGTCATGTACATGTTAGACTTAAGAAGCTGGACAGTTTACTACATGTCATACTGGATACTAATTAACAAAGGAGGATCTGAGTTAAAAGCTCTATCATAAAGCTCTTTAAACAGTAGATAACTTGGTCATACTTCCCAAAGGAGGCTCTGAGTTAACAGCTCTATTACAAAGCTCTATAAACACTAGATAACTCAGTCATCCTTACCAGAGGAGGATCTGAGTTAAAAGCTCTATCATAAAGCTCTTTAAACAGTAGATAACTTGGTCATACTTCCCAAAGGAGGCTCTGAGTTAACAGCTCTGTCACAAAGCTCTATAAATAGTACATAACTTGGTCATACTTACCATAGGAGGATCTGAGTTAAAAGCTCTATCACAAAGCTTTATAAACAGTAGATAACTTGGTCATACTTACCATAGGAGGATCTGAGTTAACAGATCTATCACAAAGCTCTATAAACAGTAGATAACTCAGTCATACTTACCAAAGGTGGATCTGAGTTAACAGCTCTATCATAAAGCTCTACCAAACTTTCTCCCAAGTTCATCCAACTGAAAATATTTAATGAATTTGTTTTATGCCTTTCAAATGACAGTGATAAATATTTACAATAAAACTAATATTTTTACATATATCAACATCATTTATCCATAACTTACACGAGATGAGTTGAGCTGGATACAGTACAACACATACCTGTGTGTACTGTTTATGGAAAATGGCACCAACGACCAATAATTTCTAGTCAGTAATTCATTTTCACATCACATTTAAAGCCGTATTCAATGCAATAAATATGACAGCATTTTGTTTTTTGCAATGTATCATCACCATTGTTAACTTCTGAAATAATCCTGATCAAAAGTATATGGTACAACAGAGTTGGAAGCAACCTTACAGACACATTAAACGTACGTGAAATGTGTGATGGCTTTTGGGAGTTTGATGGGAAGAGGCTCAGGTTCCTTAGCCAGTTCTCGACGTCTGTCTCTCAAGTCTAGTGCCTCGTTAATGTACTGGGGATCAAAACAATAAAGATAAGAACCCATCCCACTTCATTATTGTACTGTAGGTCAGAGCAACATAAACAAGTGCTCTTCATAGGATGTATTGTATCGAAGGTCAAAGCAAGTATTTGATTTCTCTAATACTGCTGCATAACAATTGATTTTAAGCTCTTGAAATACCTGTTGGTTGTGACATAATTTGAAATTCATTTTATCATACTTTTATCAAAATACAAATTTCTAGATTAGTTTTTTCATTTTTTATTGTTGAACATTTGCCAAGAACATTGTTGTAAAATGCATTTTTCATTGATTGGAAAATCAAAGCTCTAAATTCCTACCTCCTGTGATTCAGATGGGTCCACTCTGGCTATAAGGATAGCTTGATCACTATACAACGAAACAAGAACAGAGATAAATAAACCATTTATACAGTATAAAATCATAAATGTTTCTAATGTACCTGGTAGCCACAAGCTTTTTTTTCTGTATAAGGCTCAGACTTACCTACATGATTTCTTCTAGGATAACCAAGAAGTGTATTCACTGAAAAATCAGGATCTTTCTAAGAAACATGAATCAGTTTACTTTAATAGGGAATGTGTTTCCTGTGAGATAAAACGTGTCATTTTACCACTGTTCAAACATTTCTTCTGTGTCATATTTCAGAGAAGGCTGCTCCTTGAGAATTTGCTTCCTGAGTACAAGGCCCTTGGAGTACTCAGGATCCTTTTCCAAAGCTCGTGAGATGTAGTATAGACAATCTGAAAAAGCAGATTTATACAAATCAACTGGCACAGGAATTTCAATTTCATTTCTTTAAAATTGAGGAGATTTAATGTCCAATAAAAATGCATATTATTTTTTTATAATTGTATTCAGAATGAGATTTTTAACATTTGATTTGCATCATTTATTATGGGGCAGAGTGGGTAAACATGTTACCCATCCCTCTTACTGCCTGCAGTATTTGAGTGTTATTTGGACAGAAAGTCTAGATATAATTCTGACAGCAGACTTTACAGACACATTGTGGCTTAGAGAGTTAGTTTCAGCAGTATAGAGTCGAGACTCCAATCATTTGCACTCTTTGCTTGATAAAGGAAACAGATGATTCTGCAAGCTCACATTACATAATGATCCAATTTAACTATTCAAAATCATGATGAATGCTTTTCTAAAATTAAACTGGCTTGTGACAACAATTTGAATAGAAGATTCAAATGTTTACTTTTCAGAAATCTATGACTTATACATCTACACTCAGCTGGTATTAGGGAGAGATACATTTACTTACTCCAGTAGTCATTCATGGCGTACAGCAGGGTGACAATATGGTCGAGGCACGGCCAGTGGTTCGGGTTACAGTGTAGACCCTGGAGGTACAACACACTAAACTATAATTACACCTACATTTGATATATATTGGTGTAGCAATCATCAAGATGTTAACAAGATGTGTCCACTTCAATCAAGTTTGATGGATGTTGGACTTCTACTAAAAGAGTAATGGAACTAAACACATAGTCGTACCAAGCGACATAAGTAATATTCCTCACCAGACATGACTTATACAGTCTATACAGTATGGTCAATGGGAAATGGATCTGGGACCTTCCACACAAATTTACTGGTACTGTTTTACCTAAACAGTGACTATATTTTACCTTTTCAAAGCCTAGCCTGGCCAGTGGGAAGTTATAAAGCTTGAGAGCAATGGTCCCTATTTTGTACCAAACGGTCACCTCTGTCGTGTCAATCTTCACTGCCTGAAATAAAAAATCATAAAAAACCTTAAGGAAATCCAAAGATGAAGTATTATGATAAAGTCAAGTCAGAATAAAAAACTAGAAAAAACATCAGTAAGACATGAATGCCCTCTCGGCCCTGTGGTTGACCTATAAATAGTAAGTTCCTTGACATTGACATTGAGACCCTGAAATACAAACTCATTTGAGGTTTTTCTCATATACCTGACCTTTGCAAAAACTTGGTCAAAATTTGTTAAGAAATGAAGAAAATGAATTGCGGGTGGGATGGGATGGGACGCAACCGACCTGACACGGATAACACTATATTTCCCCTCCATAAAATGACAGGGGCATAATCAAACATTTTAAATCCATGTTTCTAGGAAATAGCTTGTCTGGCAATGAATTTAAACAATCTGACTTAACATAGGACCAAACAACTGAATGTAGGTCCCTGCATCCTACTACCCTACTTTTTGTGTGGAATACCCGTCAATTTACCAACCTCTGCACAGGACCAAATCGCTGACTTCAGTCCTTTGTGTGACACCTGCTCGACAGGTTTTAGTGTGGAATACCCATCAATATACCCACCTCTACACAGGACCAGATCGCTGACTTCAGTCCTCTGTGTGACACCTACTACCCTACTTTTTGTATATGGAATACCCGTCAATATACCAACCTCTACACAGGACCAGATCGCTGACTTCAGTCCTCTGTGTGACACCTACTACCATACTTTTTGTATATGGAATACCCGTCAATATACCAACCTCTGCACAGGACCAGATCGCTGACTTAGGTCCTCTGTGTGACACCTGCTAGCAACATTTTAGTGTGGGATACCTGTGAACATATACCCACGTCTACGTAGGACCAAATCGCTGACTTCAGTCCTCTGTGTGACACCTACTACCCTTCTTTTTGTATATGGAATACCCGTCAATATACCAACCTCTGCACAGGACCAGATCGCTGACTTCAGTCCTCTGTGTGACACCTACTACCCTTCTTTTTGTATATGGAATACCTGTCAATATACCAACCTCTGCACAGGACCAGATCGCTGACTTCAGTCCTGTGTGACACCTACTACCATACTTTTTGTTTATGGAATACCTGTCAATATACCAACCTCTGCACAGGACCAGATCGCTGACTTAGGTCCTCTGTGTGACACCTGCTAACCAGGTTTTAGTGTGGGATACCTGTGAACATATACTCACCTCTACGTAGGACCAGATCGCTGACAGTAAGTCTCCTCTGTTTAGTGTCACACTGGCCAGGTTTTAGTGTGGGATACCTGTGAACATATACTCACCTCTACGTAGGGCCAGATCGCTGACTGTAAGTCTCCTCTGCAGTGTACTCACCTCTAGGTAGCTCTGTGTAGTGACACACTGACCAGGTTTTTGTGTGGGATCCCTGTCAGTATACTCACCTCTACGTAGGGGCAGATCGCGGACTGTAAGTCTCCTCTGGGTAGTGACACACTGGCCGGGTTTTTTTTGTGGGATACTTGTCAGTGTACTCACCTCTCCGTAGGACCAGATCGCTTACAGTAAGTCTCCTCTGTGGAGTGTCACACTGGCCAGGTTGTTGTGTGGGATACCTGTCGGTGTACTCACCTCTATGTAGGACCAGATCGCTGACAGTAAGTCTCCCCTGTGAAGTGACACACTTGCCAGGTTTTTGTGTGGGATCCCTGTCAGTATACTCACCTCTACGTAGGGGCAGATCGCGGACTGTAAGTCTCCTCTGCAGTGTACTCACCTCTAGGTAGCTCTGTGTAGTGACACACTGACCAGGTTTTTGTGTGGGATCCCTGTCAGTGTCCTCTCCTCTACGTAGGACCAGATCGCGGCCTGTAAGTCTCCTCTGTGAAGTGTCACACTGGCCAGTAAGTCTCCTCTGTGGAGTGTCACACTGGCCAGTAAGTCTCCTCTGTGAAGTGTCACACTGGCCAGTAAGTCTCCTCTGTGAAGTGTCACACTGGCCAGTAAGTCTCCTCTGTGGAGTGTCACACTGGCCAGTTTTTTGTGCGGGATACCTGTCAGTGTCTCCTCTGTGTAGTGTCAAACTGGCCAGGTTTTTGTATGGGATACCTGTCAGTGTCTCCTCTGTGTAGTGTCACACTGCCCAGGTTTTTGTGTGGGATCCCTGTCAGTGTACTCCCCTCTCCGTAGGACCAGATCGCTTACAGTAAGTCTCCTCTGTGGTAAGTCTCCTCTGTGTAGTGTCAAACTGGCCAGGTTTTTGTATGGGATACCTGTCAGTGTCTCCTCTGTGTAGTGACACACTGCCCAGGTTTTTGTGTGGGATACGTGTCAGTGTACTCACCTCTAGGTAGCTCTGTGTAGTGACACAATGGCCAGGTTTTTTTTGTGGGTTACCTGTCAGTGTACTCACCTCTCTGACTTCAGTCCTTTGTGTGACACCTGCTCGACAGGTTTTAGTGTGGAATCCCCATCAATATTCCCACCTCTGCACAGGACCAAATCGCTGACAGTAAGTCGCCTCTGTGTAGTGACACACTGGCCAGGTTTTTTT